CGGCAAAGACTATCTCGTAAGCGAATGCGAAGCAACAACAACAAACTTCCCTTTTGCATGCTTTTTGTATTTGACAGATTTAGTGAGGCCATTGAACGATGCATAGCACGAGCTAGAGAACGAGGTAATGTTGGTCAACTTTCCTAGCAATTCTATCGAGAAGAGGTTGATCAGAGATAGATTGTATGATACAGACTATATACCTGAAAACTGCACGGTCTGCCCATACGGGAAGTGAGGTGATTGTGCAAGGGAGGGCATTGTTTACCAGCTAGAGTGCTTCAGTTGTGGAACAACCTATATATGAGAGTCCGGAAGATTACTAAGTATTAGATACAAGGAAACCTGGCCAGCAAAAAGCGGGATGCAATGTCATCACCATTGGGAAAACAGTCGCGGCACATAAAGGTGACGATTTCAAATGTAAAATGCACGATTTTATGAGATCAAAATTTCGGCAAGAAAGACATTAAAGGCAGCATGGATATCCGCCGGAAATCCGAGGATGATTAATAAAAATGAATGCTTGACAATGACCAGTGACCCAGTGACCTCCTGCTCTTCATATCATTATGTAACCTATAACCGCAGACTGTATATTAGCTTTGACACACTGGGCAATCCTCAGTGATGTCGTTACAGTCGTGCGGGCTGACTGACTCAGCGGTGGACCGAAGGTTGGTCACTCCCCCACTTCACACTGTTTTCCAGTACGTTGTAGCTAGACAAGGTCTAGACGCCGCAAGTTAGAGAAGGCGTCTGGTCTTGTAGACTGACGAAGAACTGCAATCCCTTTCAGGCCTCTGAAGAAAACGATACTTGTCGAGGCGTTAGGATATAAAGTTCCACCATAAAAACTTCAAAACCAAATTGCTTATATGTATGCTTTGTGAAGTGCTTATGCATGAGCAAGTGGGGAATCCGGTAAGTTTTTCTTGGACGGATAAAAATGTTTTTAGTTTCTGGCATCCAAAACTTCTTAGATTTTCGGCTTCTTACTTAAAGGCAGTGGATCAGCACAATGGACCCTTTTCAGATTTTGGTTTAGATAGTAGACCCACCAAGTACACTGTAGCCCAAACCCCCATCTGCCAATTCATGCGCTAAGTGCTGAAGAATGCGCTTCACATGTCTATCAGCCCCGCCCACTCAATGGAAAGGTGGGGGGGGGGGGACTGGTGAAGTTTTAGAGCGCATTTTCATAACTTAGCGCATGAATTGGCAGAGGGGGTTTGGGCTACAGTCTACTTGGGGTTTACTATCTAAATCCACCAAAATCTGAGAAGGGTCCATTCTTTTGCTCCACTGCCTTTAAGGCGTACTGAAGCTGTTGCTAATGTTTGCACACCACTTCATAGAGCTTGACTTTATCGAACTGTACCCTGTATTCTAACTAGAATCAAGGAGTATACAACGCAATGTGATAAAAACTCAAATTGAAAAAACTTTTGAGACATCCTAATCAAAACGTGGCCAAGAAGGATTGAGAAATTTCATGATTCTTCGTCTCTTCTTTCAGCCCGCTGACAGGTTTTAGTGATGATTAGTAACTAGTAAAAAAGTTTCACTTTAGGCCCATCTCTCACGCCTTCATTAAAGGATATTTTAACTAGGGCATTTTTCGAGAGCTTCTCTACATCTTTCTGTTGAGACCCTCCACTACTACTAAGCTTTACAGTCCTCCAAGCCTGGACTTCGCTTCTTGAAAGTCACTGGCCACACGCCAGGATTGCTCGCGAGATTTTATCAGTGATGGGTGTGGTGAGGCAGACACGGAAAAGACGAACTCGAGGCATTAGGACAGTGAGAAAGTGCAGGGAAGCATGTAAATGCAAAGAGGCAGGCTCAAACGGGGGGGGGGGGGGTATGTATGGAGGAGAGGGAGGAAATAGGCACAGACACGCGGACATACTCTGCGGTATACTTGGGTCCGAATCGAATAGAAATTCGATCATTCGAATAAAACATTCGAATATATTCGTATTCGAAATTCGATATTCGGAGTTTTTCCATTTTCGAATAATATTCGAAACTCGAATAATTGAGTAGACGGGGGTTTCGAATATTCGAAACTCGAATAATCAAAAAACATGGTTTCGAATAAAATTCGAAAACTCGAATAATCAAAAAACGAGGATTCGAATATTATTCGAAAACTCGAATAATCAAAAAACGGGGGTTTCGAATAGATTTTATTCGAATGTTTTATTCGAATGTTTATTCGAATTCGTATTCGAATGAACTCCGTGTTCAAATTATTCGACTTTGTTGCGGAGCCAACTGCTGAGTATCAAGCACACTTCGTCCGCGTTTTTTTGCAAAACTCGGTAATGCATCTTTTGCAACCGTTATGACCTTTAAACTGTATGGAGGTCGCATTCTTCCGACTGCTTGACAGTAAAAAAAAATCATATGTGGACCTTAATTGATGCTTTTTCGATCAATGAGATTGTTCGCACTGCTATTGGCACCAAATCAGCAAAGAAGCTACCAAATTCAAGCTCGTGTTCCGAGTTCATATAGTAGATTGAAAGTGTTTTGAAATGCCTGTTTTTTTTTCTTTGGATTGCTCATGCTTGTGGTACGCAAAGCCCACACTAGTGAGCACTCTTGCTCGCATAAGTTATATTGCACAACTGCCTCTATTCCCTACCTTAGAGGTTTTTTTTGCGAATTGGTGTATTTTGAGAACAGGATCGCAGTTGGGAGGATTAGACGGTTTAGATCGCCGTACGCGATTTGCCAGTTACGAGATGTCTTCAAATGTAACGCCAGCTTACCACAAATGTTTAGCGTGTACAATTTACCAAAATGATAGATGCCCTGCATTCTCTGTACGAATAAGTTTTGGACATGACTATTGCCAAATCACGTCGCCACTGAAATGTCTGCAGTATGCCCAGGGCTAGGGGCAATCGTGCTCGCTTCGCGGAATAAACCACATGCCTTCGTCCACGGCTAGCTTATACCACACAAGACGAAAGTCTCCGATGATCAGGCAATGTATCGTAGCATTTGTGGCTTTTAAGAACATATGTGGCCGTGTGCGGGGCTGGAAGTTGGTACAAGGGGGTAAGTGAGGGTGCTGATTGCGGATAAAGATTTACTTTATCGATTTTGTCGATTTTTGGAGAATCTTGAGCTAAGATTTGGTATAGGAGTACGATGGTGCTGATTGTGAATGGGTCGGCTTCAGCCAAATATGTCAGCAAGTTTGAGATATAGTTGCTCTAATTATTCGAAAAATCATTCGAATATTTATTCGAAATTCGACTTCCAATGTTCGAATATATTCGATATTCATTCATTCGATATTTTTGATTTTCCGAATTTATTCGGAATTCATTCATTCGAGAATTTTTGAACCCCGAATTTATTCGATATTCGTTTATTCGAGATTTTTTATTTTCGAATTTATTCGATATTCGTTTATTCGAAATTTTTCCTTTTCGAATTTATTCAATATTCATTCATTCGATGAAAAATTTTCGAATTACCCAAGTATACTCTGCGGCGGTTTTTGTACGTGGAAAGGGGGATGTAAAGTACCTAAAGCGTCGTCTCCACGGACTGCTCGTCCTAACACAGTATGCATCAGCATGTACGACACTAATGGTTTGGAAACCATTTGTAATTTCTATACAGGAACAGTATCGCAAGCGACACACTAGGCGGCTCTTGTATGGGGGGGGGCAAAGGAAAACACGTCGAGACAAGTCACGCCTTGCGTTGAATAGCAGGTTGCGGCACAGATCGAATGGAAGAAAGCTGGAGTTCATTTTCGGGACAAAAAGCAAGGGGGAGATCGTTTTTGCTGGGTCCGGGGCGGAGTCAAGAAATTGTGTACATGCGCCACCAGCGAAGTATGTGGAGGAAATTTGCACATACAATGCACAAGACAACTCAGCAATTTCCCCCAAAGAAACACATAAAAAGTTCTGAAACCTTATGTGAAGTGATACTTTTCATAGTACTCCGTTTCTAGATGGCCACCATACAATCTGAAATCGTATGGAGCATATTTTTTTGTAAGTTCACATAAACTTTGGATTTTTCCATCAGGTACGGGTTTCCGGTCAAGAGTCTGTCCCTAACAAGGGAATAGTCAGAAGTTGAAGTGACCAATCCATACAAGCTGCATATCATTAAATGCAGCATAAAACGCTGACTCTAAATCTGTCTTCCCTATCTGCAGAGCGCTTTTGTGGACGAAATTATAAGCCGTTGAAGGTCATTATTTTGCTAAGAAATTGTGCGTGAAAGTGCAAACCTGGCCTTACAAAGCCATTCTCGGTTCAGTTTGGACCAAAACACGCACTTAGGTGACTTCATATAACCAGCACCTAGAGTTGAGCTGAACGAGCAATAATGTGCCTAATTTCTCAATTTTTGTGTACGATTTTTTCGCAGTAAAGCTGCTCATAACTTCGCCTACAAAGGCGCTCTGCAGATATAGAAGATAGATTTGAAATCAGCATTTTATGCTGCATCGAATGGTATGCAGCTTGTATGGATTGGCCACTTCGACTTCTGACCATTCCCTTGTAAGCATGAAGACAATTTCATATCGTTGCTTTTCCCTTGTTTTTCACTTTATCCTTCAGATGCTTCCTCAGATTTGCGCTCGAATGCCATACTCATGTGCATGCGAAGTATTGAGCTCCTCTTTGAATTTTCACTCTTACTTCACAATTTTCCTTTTTCCGACTAGTAACTCTCCTCGTTTTCATCTTTAAGTTCATAGGTTAAAGGTCAGATAAGGATAAAGGCCCGTAAAATTTTCGAAGGTCAGGGTAAACTTTGTTTCCAAAAACTTTAGAAAATGACCCGTGCCGCGCTCTGAGCGTAGTATAAAACGGATCTTCTTATACAGATAACGAGTCTTCAGCCATCATGTTCTGGATATCTCCACAAGCACAGCTTGATCTAAACGACGTGTCATCTTGAAATCTTATTAATAGTAGGAGATAAGATATTTGGCTCAAGTTCTTTCTATTCAGGACAAAGAAGGATGTCGTCCGGTCCTTGATGGTGAACTCTGCTGCTGCAAAAAGAAGCTCTGCAATTTGTCAGCGAATCTCTTTGTTTATCTATCCATCGCAGGTGCCATTATTAGCTTGTTCAGATTGATCTAATAATGTATGACGCAGAGTCTTATGATGTTGTGTGATATGTTGTGAATCACCCTTGATGGTTTGTGATGTACTTGATTTTCTTTGTCAAAAAATTTGTTGGAAGTGCGTGAATAAATTGAGTATTCAATAGAGCAATCCATGATAGCTATATAAATGTTTTCAAACAAAAACAAGCGAGGTATCTTTGCTATACTGCCTGATCGTGAAGAGCGGTGAGTTTGTGGCCATTTGCGCAATAGGCTTTCTTAGTTTACTCTATCAAACATTCTTCCGCTATCAGTATTGGCTTTTAATTACTTGAAAGGAAAGTAGAGGGGTGTTCAATTGGTTTGAGGCCTTATTTCATTTCACGAGTACAATGACCGCAAACTTACGACCTTCACAACCACGCAGATCCCTATAGTCTCTTTAGAAAGGAGAAAAGCACGTGAGGGCTTTTATAACATCGTGACGATGGCGGCAGTTGCGCGCATCACGTGCGCAGTATCATAACTTCGTGTCTTCGGTCGTGTTGTCATTGCCATATCACTGCAAGAAGAGATGCAAGTCATAGATACCTATATCCTACTGCGCAATTATGAAGCTAAATAGTACACATTGAATCATTAACATAACATTTTGCTTAAACATAGGCATTGTGGATACTTTCTAATCTTGCTGCGCCATACAGGCTGGTTGGGGTGGTTATTCGCATCGGCCTAACATTCCAAATTTTTAGTCGTCTTAAAAGGCCTGAAAGCAACCCAAGGCACCAGAATTGTTTCGTTAGACCAAAAACACGCATAGAAAAATTTCTCTGCGAATTTCATCAGATGCATTGCTAGAAACGTTGTTAGCAAAAAAACTGAAATCAAAAATTTGCTTCACATTGCAGATCTGCTTTAAGAAAAGTGCTTCTTTTGTTCACTTTTATAAGTACAGCTTTTGAAGGCACCTTCCTAGAAGAAGGAAGATCTCGACAATGAACGACGGAGGGTCTTCCGTTATGTCAACTTCCAAATTGTCACGGGACTTCGCAAGGTGACGAAGGTTGAAAGTTCGCAACGCCACAGATTTGCCCGCCCACAGAGACAATCATTTCTTGAAGCATTTTAAAGTGACAAGCGCGATCGATACGCTTATCGTATGCGGTTGTGCTTGCCACGTACGCGTTGTACTTGTATCTGATGGGGCTTGCTTGTTGCGAACATCTGTTTGCTGAAAAAAATTTTTCCAAAGAGCGTGGGCGGTTGAGATTTTTTGTGCTATTGGTTCGTTTTCGTATTTATGGTTATGAAATGAAAAGGCATGCGAATTACAAAAAGCTGGACAAGGATTTGGGTGGACCCCTATCTCTGATAGCAACTCATGAACGTGGGCTTATCAAATCAAGACAAGACATTTATTTTTATGTGTTCGCTTCATCATTTGATAAGCCATTAAGACGCCCTTTTGTATCATGCTACTCTTCCAGACAATCACGATTACTGCAACTATAACCTTTACCTATGCACATAGATGTTACGATGGTAAGTGCTCACGAATTGATATCTAGAGTGGTTGTCTATTCTTAAACTGAAGCAATTCAAAACAAACTCGATAAGCTTTCATTTTGTGGATAACAAAGCAATGTCCACGTCCGCTGAATTTCGGAAAAAAATAGCAATCAGTGCTCACTTTTCAGGGCAATACCAGCGCGACAATAAACCAATATTGACAATAGAATGTGGAGGAAGGCACTGTACAAAGTATGTTTCACAGTTATCTCGTGTGTGCACATCACTTATTGCTTTTTGCTACTAGCTGGCTTACCCGGCTCCGCCCGGCTCCGTCAATGCTATGATTAAGGTCTTATCCTTATCCCTAGAATCCATTGTGCCCACTTATACATGCAATTCCCTATTCCCGCTGTGTTAGTAATTAGCATGCCCACCTACCTCCCTCAACAACCCCCAGCCCCGTAGCTCAAACTTTGCAAAAAAAACAATAAAATCGGTAAAAGCAAGGATAAATCTGGAAACTGATGGCGCCATTCGGCTATCCGGCCCCATAATGTTTGATGGATCTTGCTCAAAGTCGGTACATGGGGATTATTAACACATTGACGACAATACGACCCACCGGTGGGTCGTAATATTCATGAAGCGCTATCTTTGCCAGTTTACGACGGAATTCTACGGGGTTTTGGCACATGATCGGGGGCACTTAGATGAAGCTCCAGCCAGAGTGGTCCGGGCTCGGGATACTGTAATGTAATGTTACGGTTGGTATACGGTAGACATCTATGAGGCACAAGCTTTAGCTCAGATTGTTCGTAAAATGATGCTGCTTCTGGAGAATCAAGTTTACATCTAAGAGTAATACGAGGCGGGCGAGAGGCTGACGTTAATCCACCAAAAAATTATCGATTTTATTGATTTTATTGATTTTATTGATTTTTTTGCATTTTTCGTCCTAGGAAGCTCGAACTTTGCATATATAGGTTTTGTAGCATGCCAATTACGAAAATGATAGTCTCAAGTTTTGATACCACCTTCTAACATCAGTTTCCTGATTTCTACGAAAATTCTACCGTACTGCTACCGTAGTCTCACCGTGAGAATGTAGTGAACAAATGGACACTATAGTCGTGATCAGCACGTGAAATAGCCCCAATACACAAATATTCATGAAAATCCATGATGTTGGTTTCGTACAGAATGACTACCGCAACCTTACCGTATAACGCCAAAAACTGAAATAAATCATATTTGGTAATCAGCCCTTCGATAACCCTTGTGGGGAAATTCTCGGAGACATGTTCCGAATTTCTTACAAAAAGACTACCATTTCGGACAATACGACCCACGGGTGGGTCGTAAGTTTGGCAGAGCAAAAAAGACTCCTGTCCGAAATGGCAGCAATCGAAAAATCGGCCTTGTCGTCAATGTGTTAGAGCCGCTAATGACGAATATCGTAGTCATTTCGCGCGACAGCGCCATTTTCTGGGTTTACGTTAGGTATACATGAAAAGCTAAAATCATGGATTTCGCTGAAACTTTGAGGGGGGCTAATTGACATGCTGATTACGAATTATACTCCTTCGGCATTTTGAGGCGATTTCACTGAGTTATGGTAGGTATACTGCAGAGGGGCAAAATCTTAGTTTGGCTGAAACTCGGTCTAGAGAAGACCTTTTCGCAGAGTTACGGTAGGTACATGGCAGCGGATAAAAATCATGAACCTGCCTGAAACCTTGGCAGAAAATTACCTAAAGGCTGTTTCAAGAATATCGTTCTCAATACCCATGATAAAGGCAATTCGTGTGGTATGAAAGTTTCCCGAAAATGTAATGCTTTCCCTTATAGGACCACTGCCGCGCGCGATACACCCTTTGGCGGCTTTTGCCTAAGCAAAAACAGGGAAGGGAGATTTGCCGAGTGCGTTACACGTTGGGACAGGTTATCAGTTTCCTTATAGGACCGCTGCCGCGCGCGATACACCCTTCGGCGGCTTTTGCCTAAGCAAAAACAGGGGGAGGGAAATTTGCCGCGTGCGTTACGCGTTGGAACAGGTTATCAGGATGGCGCTGAAGACCGCCATGCAAAACGATCGTTTTCCCATCTCTTAAATATCTGGGGTCTAAATTAGCCCGAAAGCGAAGAAATGTCCATTCAAACCCTGCAACTCACCATAACGCGTTATGACAGCGAGCAAGCATCATATTCATAAGCGATATACTTGTGAACCGTTACAGGTAAGGTTTTGAGCAGAACTCCGGAACTTCGACCCATCTACACCCACCGTAGCCCAAGAAAATGGACTATCCTGGCGAAATCAGCTTGATATTCATGTTCAACGCGCTGAATGACCACCCTTGACGAAGTTTAAAGCAAATCTATGTTTTCGACCCCATGCCATAAAACCACCACAAATCTATAAAAAGTTCCCAATGTGTAGAGAGAGATGATATTCGTAATCAGCATGTCGAATAAGCCATTTTGACCGAACTCCAGCCGAATTCATGATTTTGACTTCCTACCGTACACCTATCGTAACCACACGGGAAGACGTTCTGCGGAGAAAGTGTGATATCTGTAATCAGCATGTAAGATAACCCTTATACACACGAAGTTTGAGCAAGCTCTGCGACAAAAAAATTTTGGGGCCCGGATAGCCGAATAGCGCCAATCTAACATCGAACTCGTAATCAGCATGCTCGATTACCCCCCCCCCCATTGTGCCAACTCCCAGCCCCGCAGCAAAAAAATCGATAAAATCGATAAAAGCAATCGATAATCCCGAAAACTAATATTGTATTCGTAAGCAGCATGCTCGATTACCCCCTGTGCAAACCCCCAGCCCTGCAGGTGAACTCAGCAAAAAAATCGATAAAATCGATATCGATCGATGACGAAAAGTAGCCTATGACACCCGCCGGCTACGAAGTGTATGTGTGCCAAGTTTGGTCCGGATCGGTTCAGAAATAAAAATTTCCATTCGGAACATACGTACATACATACAGACCTACATACATACAGACATACAGACATACAAACAGACATTCAGCTTTATATATAAGAAGATCTAGAAACACACACCTACAAAGTGAAAATCATGCGTGTGGGCGATCGATAGGCCAATTTGAGTGGTCAAGAAACACGCGCACAAGCGTGGCGCGAAAATTTGGCGTGATGATTACACCGATTGAAAATGAAGTACTAATCGACACAGATTGTACAACGTTTTGCAGCAGAATCACTTTGAAGTTAAGAGAGTTGAAGCCTTTCATACACCTATCAGTGATCACAAACCGTTTAAAAACATTGTTATCGAAAATGTGATTTGATGCCTGCGACACTACAACTCGCAATAGCAAGCAAATATTTTTTGTAGGATTCAACCACACCCATTCGACCAGGATTTTTATGGATGCGATCTGACAGAACTATGCAGAGTGAGTTCATTATCAAAATCTCATTGGTTTCTTAAAAGCAACATATTCAAATATGTGTAGGAGAAATATGGTTGGCGTCAATTCACTAGTCACTTAGTGCAATCGCACAAACTGTCGGATGTCCAAAAGCATGTCGAAATCGGATGTTAGCCAAAAGCAAACCAACTGGCTTTTCCCCGTTATTCATTTGTTAAAGGCAGCGTCCAGGCAGATCCGAGATCGACGACCACGCCCACTTCCCTCGGACGGCCAACCCCTTATGAACGAAATCTCCTCAGCCTTGACGTGTTTTCACATGCCAACACAGTCGAATTTACAGCGTTTACCTGTTAATACTTGCTTTCGACAAGGATAATATCAGAAGCACTCGTCCGTTTTCCCAAAATAGCCCCAAAAGGTGGTTTTCTGAAAAATTCACGCTTTTTGAGTTCCATATTCGGAATCAGCGCCATGGAAAGGCCTGGATAACATAAAAATATAGAAGTCGAGAATCTGCCTGGACGCTGCCTTTAACATGTCGGAGATCCCTTCCATCGAAAATTTGCTACTTTTGTAAGTGGTGCGAAATTAGGAAAAGGCTTGCTTACAAATTAGTAAAAAGCTTGTTTCATAAGCAGTTTTTACATTTATTGAAAGTGTGACAAATCTCTTCTCGATTTTGCTCGCGCCAGTGCTAAAAGGACCTGTCAACGAGCGTTGTACGATTCACAAGCAATGCTTCATTACCGCAAGAATGAAGCTTTTACGAATACAACACGACTTAAAATCTTGTCTTCAATTGATTTATGAAAGAGCAAGATAAACAAAATAGAGTGGAGGTCCTTTAAATATAGAAGAAGAAAGAGATATGGTCCAGCCGCCCGTCTGTCGCTGGTGAGATGCCATACTTATACAATCCTCACCAGGGTTGAGCGTGGGGTCAGGCGCGCCCGACCTGGGGGGTCGTACTGGGGTAAGACAGAGGGGGGGGGTCGTGATTAGGAATCGAATTCGTTCGATTGAGGAGATACTACGATTAAGGTGAAGAAGAAAAGCGCTAGTTTACTTTAACTCCACGGATTACCACAAGGCCGAAACAAGTCGAATCAAGTCCAAACACTTACTGTGGAATCTTCGAGGGTTGTGCTAGCGATTCACATAAAACTTGAATAAAAAAGCTTCTTCAATGATAAAGTTAATCGGGTCAGGCGCAACCCCACAAAAGGTCAGGCCGCCTGAGCTTTTGAGGGGTTGCGCCTGACCCGATTAACTTGTTTTCAAAATCTAAAAATCGCTCCATTTCTGCTATGAGTATTGAACTCAAAGCCTCTTCTTGCAATACTGCAAATTTGGAGCCAAACAATACACCCCTGTGGGAATTATAGCTCTAAAAGTAGGGCTATCCAAAATCCAAAACTTGCCGTCAAGTTGCGTGTGCTGTGCAATCGCAGAAAGTCGACCTACAGACCTCCAAAAACAAGAACTCCCAAAAACGGCTGATCTCTTCGAATTTTCACAGCCTGAGGTCCTGGAGGTGAAGCAGAGGGGTCGTTTAGGGGCTTTCACTGGAGGGGGGGGGGGTCGTTTTGGAAAGACTTGTGCCTGACCTCTTGCTCAACCCTGATCCTCACCTATAGTAGAAATGAAATGGCCTTCGGATTGCAGCAGTGAGGCTGGCTGTTAAAAATTATTAGGCTGTTGCAAAAAATAATGTCCTTTTTGCAAAATTTTACTTTGAAAAGCTATAACTTTGCCAGGGCCCGGCACGAGCTTGTCAAAAGGGGTTTTCGAAAACGATTTCCCCTTTGACCCAAAAACTGATCCCAGTGATTGCGCAGTGAACACTTTACCCAAAGAACAACTTTTATTGATGAGAAAAACAAAAACAATTCGTTCAAAACAACAAAAAAGCAAATAAGATCACATTAGAAATCCATGGATGCCTCTACTGCAGGTGCTTGTCGTAATCTTCTAGCGGTATAGCTTCCGCAGGTGAAGATGTAGACTGACCTCACCCATTATGGACACCACATCAAGCGCTTTGTACAGGATTTCCACTAGTAAAAAAAGAGAAACTCAAATTATTTTGCAATTACTGTAGCAACTTGCTTTTCCAAGTTACAGTAGCAAGTTGCTCGCAGTTATCATCCCTGGAACTTTCGCAAAGCAACTCGAAAGGGCAAAAATTGGATAGCTAGAAGTAAGACCAACGTATGGGGTAAACGGGCAAAACGTGCAGCAAAGGACATTGCTGTCCCATAAAAGTTTGTGCATCAACTTATATACATAGATACTCATCAATCCAAAAATTCAACAACTTTCCCATTGTGTCTGACAATGATGCGCACGAATAACTGTCGTGCGTACAAACTGTGCATATGATCATTGACACGCTTTCCAATCTCTGTTATTCGGCGACCACCCTACAAGCAACACATCGGGAAATGTGGGATCATCGATGAATCTACAAATCACGAACCTTGCCAATGAGCAGCCGCCCAATGCGCTCTTTATTGCAATTAATTTCTACAGCGATTTGTAGCACCTGTGGCCGTATTCATCAACGAACCCTGAGGGTTAAGCTTACCCTCCAGGGTTAGTTTAACCCTCAGGGTTCATTGGCCGTATTCATCAACCATAGGCTAGGGTTTACCACGTTACGCGATCTACCCGTATCGATCAACGAACCTGTGGCCGTATTCATCAACCCTGAGGGTTAAACTAACCCTGGAGGGTCAAGGCGTCAGTTACGCGTGCGCTGTGCAAACTCACATCGCAGAATGCCTAAGTACGGGCTAAATTCACTTTATACTTCTATTATTTCACTGTTATAGTAGTATAGTCAAATAAGCTTCTAACACTAGTTTTTCAAAACATCTCTAGCATACTTGTGCAGCATCCAATCTTACAGCGTGAGTTTATTTTCATGCGTGCAATTGTGCAGTGTAAGTTCTACTTTTGCGCAGTTCGTTTTATATCGGGCTTGTGCTACTTTTTTAGGGGTCAATGCGTGTTAGTATAAAGAGATTCTTCTGTTTGGCACTTGTCAGAGTGGAATGCCATTTTTCCTCGTCGCATTCATTTGTCACCAAAGCTAGAAGCCTTTTTCTCGCGAAGTCAGTGTTTCATGTACTTCGAATATGAACATAAAACGAAGTCGAAACTAAATACTATAACAACAACACTTGCTAAATACTACAACGCTCGTTGATCGTTTTCCATAAACTATTAGACGCGAGTAAATGTTTGTATAAAGTGTTGAAGTGTTAGGATAGAGCTAACCTTGCTCTGAGCTAGGGTTAAATTAACCCTGATGAATCACGTAAGTTTAACCCTCCAGGGTTAGTTTAACCCTCACGGTTCGTTGATGAATACGGGTTAGTCGCTTTCGGGGTAAAATTAACCCTCAAGGTTAGATTTAACCCTCAGGGTTGAGCCTACCCTGTGTTTCATGAATACGGGTTAAACGCTTTCCAGGGTTAAACTAACCCTCCAGGGTTAGTTTAACCCTCGCGGTTCGTTGATGAATACGGCCACTGGATTCTCCATACATTCGAAGTGAGGGAAAAATCATCTCGAGATACCTCGCCATCCACATTCCATTCACTTATTTTGGGTTTAAGTTGGTAAGCAACATTGGACGGAGTGGTATCGAGAAAAGTAGCAAGAACGGAAACAACGCAAATTTGTTGTGGATTCTACAATATGCCCTGACATTCAAAGTTGAAGTAAAAAGCTCATAAGCATTTGTATTCAGTGACATTTTGGTTGTAACTTTGCTCACCCTAGAAGGGGCGGCCATTCCATCTATCCTCCAGTTTCTGTCGAAAGACAACTTCTTCAAATGCTCGTTTCCTAGACAACGAACTTTTTTTTTGGTTTTCGATAGTAAAGGTCCTTCTTGTTTAATGTCAAATCTTTACTCAATGAACTACTCTGGAGAGAGTGCATAACAAACTGGTATTATAGCTGTAAGTCAGCAGGGGTTTGTTTTTGGAAGTTCAAAAACAGAAATTATTCTTAAATCAAATGCATTTGATTGGTAGAACTGTGCAGAAAGCAAACTTCCTCTCTAAAAGAAAACTAACGGCATGATTTTAAATCTCATCACGATAGCAAGAAAAAACAAAGGAAACTTTAGCTATTTATCTCCCAAATCTTTTTACTGCCCCTCATATATGCCACACATTAGAAATGCACAACTATTAGTGAATTCCTTACCGCATAATCAAGTCTAGCTCACATAAGCTCTAGCAGTTTCTGATACAATTCGCCTATCGACAGCACGCAGAGCTAGGGATTTGTTCCTCATCAATACCATCGGTACCTGAAATGACCTCATAATCACAAAAATCTACTATAATGAGTGAATAATGGCCAAGATGAGCGAATGAAACGAGAAAAGCAGCGAAATATTATAGCAATGCCGTATAGGACTCAGAAACGCCGTTATCGATTGGAGCGCGCTTTTTTCCTTAGGAAACGGGGCTGCTGAGACTATTTTTGCCTCTAGCAATGGGGAGAGGAGGAGGTTTGAAACCAAAATTTCAATATATACTAATGTTTAGGTGTAGAGTAGATTTATGTAAAAATTTTGAAAAAATTATGTGAACTGAGAATTTTGACAAGCTCAGCTTGTCATTAGCTTGTCAAATGACAAGCTAATTTGGAAATAAGTTGAGGAAACTCTTCATTCACATAAGTTTGTCATAATTTTTCATACTTTGTTACTTAGTCCTACTGCGCATATACACACCGAATCCAGCGCGATTTCGTCGCCTCTGCGTTGCAAACGAGCCATTTTTCCATTTCTTTGGTAGCGGGAAATTTTCAGAAAAAACTTTGCCACAACCTTCAGTCACATAATTTTTCAATGAAACTCCTAAGTTAGCTCCTACAGGCTTGTGACCACGTGCGTACCAAGTTTCATACCATATCGTCATCTGCGCGTTGCAAACGAGCCATTTGAATTTACTTCATTTACCAATTTTGCAAAATCTTTGGAAAAAATGCTTATTACT